GGTACCTACATAACCAAGTAGAGCAAGAAACTTGTACTACCCTCATTAACTTTCAATGCATAACTAAGTCTGCCCTAATTTTGATTATGATAATACAAAATCTTTAGTTTTACACAAACAATAATTTAAATTATCTAAACCACCAAGACTTGGTAGACAGTTGTTTCCATACCATATTCTAAATCTGTTTCAGTTACAAAAGACGTCTAACATGTAATTATGCTAATTAAGTATGACTAATGATTTATTTCAGCTTCTCAGCATAGGAAGGGGTAAAGACTTATACTGCCAACAGCAGAGAGAGTACATTCAAATATCTGCTAAACGATATAATCTTCTTCAAATAACCGAGTAACAAACATTTTAATCTTCTCATTCCAATGTTAGGTCATTGATTAGCCTCATTACATTAATTGTATGCAGAGATCAAATTACATGCAGATCATGTCAGTAATAACAGTCAATCTAAACCTTAAAAACAGTGGTTGCAGAATTATTCTAGACCTGTCCATGGCCATTGGACCGATCTAAATAATATTAATGACATCATTCCCCCAAATTTACAAAAGCAACCTACCTGCTGCAGTATTATAACAGGAAGATCAACCAAGTTGCAGTCATATTTGTTTAAAGAACTAATGTACTCAGAACTTTTGAACAGGCCAACAAATTAGGAGCACCTTCACCTTCAACATTGATACGATCATCATTCAGCATCACCTTGGTACCGAACTGTAATTTTACAGAATCCTTGAAGTTCTGGAAGTCTGATTTCGAGGATTGGAACTCTGCATGAAGAATGGACTGAGGAACTTTCATAAAGATTGTCCAAGATGATCTCCGGGAATGCCAAGTTGGATGCGTCATTAAATGAAGATATGGGACCCTGCAAACCTATAAATATCATGTGAAAATTTATTAAGGAATAGGAAAAATAAAATCCAAAGAGAACTTTTAGTAATCCACATAAAATGGTTAATGAGGAAAATACCACATTTTCCAGCTCCATAAGAACTCTGTTAGAAAAGATTCTATGACCCAAAGACGGACAAAAGTGGCCCAGAAGACCGGATCCATCCTTTCCTGATTGACCAGATACTCTAGTACCAGATAAAGTTGGTTCATCCTTCACTTTTAGAAATGCATGTTCAAGAACAATTTGCTGCAGTAAATTTCACAACTGATACGATTAGGGAAATCCCATTTCTTTTTCCCTTTAGGAATATCAGGTTTTCCCTCTCCCAACTTCACATCATCAGATGAGTCCAAGGATACAATTGCAGAATCTACATTCTGCGTATTGGCAATGTCAACAGCCTGATCATCACCTTCACTAGATGGCACAAGTGATATGAATAAAGAGGTTCCTTGACCCATGCTTAATTGTAGATAATTTTCCCATATTCCAGTAACACTGACTCCAACAGGTTGGTTGAATGCTTCACAATTCAACATATGGAATACCTGTCAAAGCAACAAATACTAGTAAGAATGCATATTAGTCACAAAAAGGCTGAGAGAAAGCAAAGTCTACCTGATCATTGAAGATTGATTGATGAACTTCGCGAAGGAGAAAATGTGTTTCTTTGACATATTCATCATCAGTCATTGAATCTTTCCCAGTGCTTTTTTCGTGCTTCCCAACTGAGCCATGTGTACTGATCTTATTCAATTCTTTTGGGTCATCAGCAGAATGCACACCAAGAAAACCAAAATGAAGAGAGTGGCATCAATTTGGAGGTAAGTTGATAGCCAACATTCCAGCTGAATCATGTTCAATGTGAATACTAGAAAAAGAAGATTGTCGAGATATTGCTGTTGAACCATATGATGAATTGTCAAAAAGATCAATAGTGAAGACTTCATTGCTAGAAGCTGCACCTGCCACTCGTTGTCGTTTAACTTTCCAGTTTTGCTGCAATCTATTCAATTGTTAGGAAATAAGAGAAGTAGTGCATATAAAAGAACAAAGCTTCCACGAAAAGAAATTGCAAATTTAGCTTATAGAATGAAGGTAAAGAACGTGAAACATGATAACAACCAATTTTCAGAATAATATTCTTTTAAGCCAATTCAGAGGGATACCTGATAAGAGCACCGTAAAATCTTGCTTCCCTAGCAATCTGTTGTTCCAAAGCTTTGGCAGACTGTTTGAAGTATTTTCCCAGATGCTGCGATAGAAATTAAACTCAATAAGGATATTCGCAAAAATTCTCTGGTACCAAGACAAATAGACATTTTCAGTGGCAATGGTAGTTACAATCACAAATCTTAAACAACTCAAACTTAAGCTGAAGAGGAGTTGAAACTTGAAAATATCACTTCTGTTCTCCAAAAAAGGAAGAATACCATGTAACATTGCAGCTTGGTTGCAGTAGATACGGCAAGATCAGACAGGAGCTCATTAGGTAATGGTTTTGGCCTTGTCATGCCAGCCACCGTTACAGCGTCGTTAGCTTCAACCTTTCCAAAAAGAAAGAATAAAAATCATATATTTAAATGACTTCTCGTTTACCATTCAAAGCAGCAGCACGATCCTCTTTTCGAATCGAACTTAAAGGAAACGGAAATGAAACAAGACAAAGAAGTTACTGAAAACTCCAGAAAAGAAATATTCACCTGAACTCTGTTGCGTTCAGAATTCATTCATTCAAGGATAAAGACAATGATGTGGCAATAGAATTTCAATAGTTAACACTCTCATATTTTTACTTGAGATGAAAAGGAGAAAGAAACTAAAGATCAATACGAAATGCCATTAAATTCAACTCAAGTATTCATATATGATGTGCATTGTTTTACTTTTGATTCGTATAAAACTAATGGTAAATTTTAAATTTTATTAAATTTTAATCAAATGTAATTAAGCAACAATAGCCGAGTGAAGCAGCAACAGCTATGGAACTTACAGTGTTGATAAGGTCGATGATGACGGAAAGCTCCTGATGAGCCAATTGGAGATTCTCCGTCATGCTCTTCCATTGCCACGTGGCGGAGGCATCTTTGGAGCTCTTCTTCTTCCTCTCCCTTTGTTCATCGTCCTCCACAGCCCACGCAAGTCTATACGCCGTATTAGCGAGACTCGTTTTTCGTCGTATCCCGAATCGCTATGAAATACAATAATTTAAAAAAAAAAACAGAAAAGTTAACATTGCCAAGGTCATCAGTTAAGGAGCGAGGAACTTGATCGGGAAGAGACTCTTACGGAGGGTAGTGTTCGAGGCCGTTTTCTTCGATGCATTGAGCCGTTTAACGGAAAGCTTGTCCAAGGAGACTTCAAGGTTTCCGTCCATTTCTTTTTCCCGTAAAATCCGAGAGGAAAATTTAAGGATGAAGAGCGTAGAAGAAAGCGCTGGTTTCAGTTTCAGAGCTCATACTCGATAGTTTATGAGACTGAATAGGAGAAACGTCTACTTTGCCCATGGAGTTGTAGTATGAAGTATGGACTGATGAATAGGTTAGGTTACTTAGGGCCGGTAGAAACAAAGGTTAGGTTTGACTGGGCCTGGGTTCGTATAGATGGATGCAAACGTCATACAAATAACCCAATTAATTCAATTATTGATTAATTTGATTCAAAATTTATTTATTTGGATTAAAATTTGTTGTAATTTAATACTATTGATCAATCAATTAGTTTAAATTTAAATCAATAGATAATAAATCTAATTTTTTTTTCGTTAACAGATTTAATATCTAATTATCCGATCAAGTAATCAAATTAAATTTTGATTTTATCGATTAATTAAGTTAAATCCAAATAATAAACACCCCTAGTACTCAGTTCTAGAGATTCTCAATCATTTAACAATGAGCGCTTAAATACCGTGAGTTATTAGTATTCGAACCCATAACCTCTAATAATAACAAATTAACCATCATCTTTGTTCTTGCTCAAGGCATGATTTCAAACATTGGATTTGGGGTAATTTTGTTTACATAATTTATTCAGCTGGATGATAATGTACCACCTGACTAGTTATGACCTCCGGCAAGGAACAAAGATGCAAAGATATGGATAGGACCGCAGAGATTTTATGCATTAGCAGGCTTTGAACACCTTAAGAATTGAGACCAGTCAACACTAAAACTCTTTGTATAGCTGTGGTGCACTAGAGTAGCTAAACACCAACGCCAACTCTTCTCTCGCATGTTTTTTTCTAAGTAAACTCTGATAAAACGTCATATACCAACGCCTACTATATTTTGCTTACGTTGAGATTAATCGCTGAAAGTCATTGGTTCAATTCAATATTCTCTGGGGCAATCAGCGGTGGACGTACGCGTTACGTGCATTTGGAGATTAATGATAAATCCAAGAAACATATATCTAAAACCGACGTCGAACTACTGTAACGATTATCTGAATTCTGAAGTAGATTGCGTAGTGCATGCAGTAACATTGAACAGATTAAAATCTTATCCAACTGACTATTTCAAGATAAGAAACTTTGAACGCCTCTGTTTGGGTTGAAAAGAAATTAAACGTGGAGAGTTGTTAGAACATTGGAGGAGTAGATGGTACTAGAATTTTTGCTGAAAGCCTGAACAACTTGGATTGCAATACCATGCTTGAAGAATCAAACACAAGTTGTCAACCAAAGGGAAGTAAAAAACCAATTTGCTTCTCTTGACAAGAAAGAAACGTGTCTCATCGGAACCAACTGTCCGATGGAGTTTTAGTTTTTGTATTACATGTCTTTCCACGGTCAAACAAATTGTCCCCTCAGATCCGGAGCCGTATAATGGCCAGCATCATCCACCATATTAGGAGATTAATTTTATTATGGGGACGTAATTATAAATCGTAAAAAGAATATGATGAATTTATTGATAAACTTAATAAGTACAATAATACTTTTTAAAAATAATAAATTTATTTAAATATTTTGAATTAAAAAGATATTTTACAGTTTCTTTAAAATTTGGATATTAATAAGATAATATTCTATTATTTAAAATTTTATAATCCATTAAAATGTGAATACAACCTCTGCTGCATATAGAAAAGAATACAACAGTTGTTTACGTTGTTCGTTATTGTTTAGCTCAAGCCGAAGAATTCCGGGAAGAAAAAAATGGAGAATCCTCTACAGCTGAAGTGCTTGAATCACGTTTCACTATCGTGTAGATCAGTTGAGAAATCCGTGGAGTTCTATCAGGATGTTCTAGGGTTTTTTCCCATCAAAAGACCCGGTTCCCTTGATTTCTCTGGTGCATGGTAATTTAAATTTAATTCCACCAGCAAGGTTCTTTAAACCATTTGCATTCTTGTCATTCTTTTTGGGTTAAAATATTGATTCCTAGTGTTGTGATTGGATAGGCTGTTCAGCTATGGTATTGGTATCCATCTTCTCCGATCAGAAAATACTGAAAGCATGCCTAAGATTGGACGTATTAATCCCAAGAACAATCATATTTCTTTCCATGTATGTTTTATATATTGCATATGCTAACAATACATGAATATTGGAGAGAATACGTTCTTATAGAAATTAATCAATTGCAGTGCCAGTGCGATAGCATGGAGACATTGGAGAACAAATTGAAAGAGCTGAATATAGAATACGCAAAGGGCAGTGTAGAAGAAGGTGGAATCCGAGTCGATCAACTCTTCTTTCACGATCCCGACGGTAACATGATTGAGCTATGCAACTGCAACAACATACCTATAATTCCTCTGCCCGTCGATGCTATCCAGTCATGTTCTCTGACCAACTGCAACGCACGACGACAACGGCAGCAACAGCAACAACTACAGCAACAGAAGATTGAGCATCCAGTAGAAATCTAGTTGTTTATGTGCTGAAACTCTGCCAATGTGTCAACATGTTTATTTATTTATTTATTTTTTGCCACATGAATTCAAGATTCATTTGAGCCTGTCAGGTTATGTGCTGGAACTGTTCCAATCAGTGATATAGGAAGAGTTTTTTCCCCCCTAATCAACTGCCATCCTGATAAATTGTTTACTGTGTCGAGATTTGGGGGCGTCACAATATTCCAACAGAACAAGGGGGGCCCTTAACAGCTTTGGAAGCTCAAGGCCCACATGAAAAAATGAAGTTAAAATTATTAGAATTATTCTTAAGATAAACAACCAAAATCCAAAGACTTCAATCAACATTCATGTCATCGAAACATGTAAATATATGATTGCATAATCTTACGGTCCATGGCTTCGATCGCTTGTCTCCAAAGACCAATGTCATGAGGGGCCATTCTTGTAGATCATGTCATTGCCTCCAAATCACATATATAAGATACTGAAGAATATTATCCTCCATATCTTTCTTTATTAATTTGCATTTGTTCAGAATTCATTGACTTTGATTCACGGACTCCAATTCAGTCCATAACCCAATAAGTAATAATCCTTGAGCATTTGAACAAGTGAAATATCAACTAAGAAATTTTTATATATACAATAAATTACGGACTCACTTTTTAACTTTGCAAAGCAAGAAAAAAGCAAATCCTGATACACATGCTTCGCCCATGCTTCGAAGTCAATTCCACTGAAATCGAGAGAACGTTGCAATGTGAAGCGTGCTAGCTAGTCTGGAAGGATGAAAGCCATGAAACAAAAAATAATTGCAGGCTTTTCTATCCTTTAGTTTAATAGCCGACTTCTGACATGTTAATAAATAGGAGGGCTAAATCTTAATCTATGTGGTCCAATCATACAAGTGATTGAAATATATAAAAAGTAATTGAAGGTAAATTATAAATTATTCTAGGCAGAGCCAAAATCACACCTATATGGTTATATTAGTTGGAACATAATTTCTTAATAGATTGAAAACTCATTATCTAGAATTAGTTGATCACTGCTAATCTGTCTTTTATTACCGGAACTATACCCATCATATTTTTTTCTTACAAATTCTGAATCGACCAACATCGCACACTCAGTTATGATGTGTGACTCTCTCAACTGAGATTTTATGCATACACGAGAACTTCAACCTAAGACTTTACTTAAGTGATATCAAACTGTTTACCACTAACCAATCTGTTAATTAGAATTATACCCATCATATTATTGTAATTTTATCTTAATTTTTCGTCTAATCTACAAAGTATAATCCCAACACAAATATAATCATTTGAAAGTGACAGTTCCGTTAGGTAGCCTAATGGAAGATCCCCATGTGGGTGCCGGCTCTTCACAAATATGCCCCCCCCCCCAAACTCTAAATCAACTCTAACCCAGACACTCGGACTAAACCTTGCATGTTACAGAAAAAGGCCCATCAAATCTCTTCAAAGCAATCATCACCCTTTAATTTATCCTTTATCACAGGCAACAACACATGGTTTGCTTATATAAATTATTCCGTCCACTTTCTAATCGTATTATTATTTTCTATATGGCTGGTAATGACTCCCAGACACCTCCCCTTCTCACATTATATATATATTTATGCACCTTCGTGGCTTGACTTCATAGACTAATACAATATTATTAGAATAAGACACAGTGAGAGAGAGAGAAATTAATGGCTTCCAGAGAGAAAAAGCAGAAGAAACTAATAAGTGGTTTCTTTAGCAATTTTTATAGGTCAAGTACACGAAGTCAGAAGCCAAAACCCGAGCCTTCTGTAGCGGCAAATAACAAGCCTGTTTCACCGAGTTTGTTGTTGAAGAAACTAGAAAATGGCCAAACTGTAGACAGGGGTGGCCAGAAGGGAATCGAAAAAGAAGGTATCGAAGGAGGAAAGGTGGTTGTTGAAGGAAGAAAGTCAGTATCCCACGTCGAGACGAATCTGTTATCAGTGATCTCGTTTCTTCAGGTGAAAGTTTTGGTTTCCGACATGCCCGGGTTCATGCAAGTGCATGCCTTCCGCTCTGCCAGAAGAACATACGATAGTTTGGAGAAGTTTAGCTCCAGGCACATGGCTTATAACATCAAGAAGGTATGTTCCAAAAACCTCAACTCTTTCACAAGCTCTGCATTTTCAAGATCAGTTTAGCATTGTACATGTAGATTCATATAAAAACGAATAAGCTCTTTTAATCGATTCACAGTTTCACAGTATGTAATGACAGTGGATTTATCTAGCTAGGTAGGTAGATTGATTATGGAAGTGTTTCTTTTTGGAATTGCCTGAGTTTGAATGATTGAGGCTTATTCACGGAACCTCACGAGTCACAAGGAAGGAGACAATACTCTGCAGGACAGATAGAAATGATGACTTTCTTTCCAATCTGTTTCTTTCAGCAGAATCTAGGTGTTAAGTCGCACATGGAACCCTTGACTCTTGTATTTTTGGCTATTCCTTACATTCTTGAAAAATGATAAAAAAAAATACAGCTTTAATATGTATATATATATATAGCAGAATAAAAGAGTTTCAGTTCTGAAACCTCAAGTATGGGAATCCATAGTGAGATGAGACCTGATCCAACACACCATGTGTAAAAACAGCAAGAGGACCCTCAAATTCAAATCAAGTAACTTTTCTTTTATTTTTTCTTCATTTTCCCTTTGAGTCATTTGCATGGGTAGAACAATGGAATAGTATATATAATGTCGAGTTAATGTCCAATCTGTACCGTGAGTTCTTTTTTTAACCATTTTAGGCATTCAATTTATCTTCTTTTTATCCTTTTATATATGTCTTACGGCCAACAGTTTGGGCTTTTTTTATACAGGAGTTTGATAAAGTTTATGGACCGACCTGGCATTGTATCGTGGGATCAAATTTCGGCTCATTTGTTACACACTCAACGGGTTGCTTCCTTTATTTCTCAATGGAGAAACTGTACATTTTAATATTCAAAACTAAAGTTCGTAGGGTTGCGAATTAGACAATTGAAGGCTACTAATCAAATATAGGCCCCTGTTCTCCCCTCTATTTGTTTTATCGAATTGGATGTCCCTTGGCATGATGTTTGTAAATGACAAAATCACTGTAACAGTGTACGATTATTATGAATTTCTACATGAATTATTGGCAGCCAGACTGGACCCTTTTGGCACCTCTGTGGCTGCTGATAGGAGGAGTGTGATAGCAATGCGTGTAAATAGGTGGCTTGATGGGCTTGTCCTTTTTGACGTAACTTCAAGATGAAGTGCTGATAATTGAAGAATTTATAATATACATTAACTTACAAGAATGACATTTAATTTATTATTAATTTAGAAAATGAACCGAAGCCCAAGTGGCAGAAGATGAGGAGAGCAATTGTTGAATTTGATGGGAGTGGTTTGGAACCATTTTGGGTCATAAATGATGGGATCGGTGGGCGCCTCATCAATCAAGCTATGGACTATCGGCTAACGAACAAATTAAAAGTCGGCTGCCTTACCAGTCCAAAATGAATAAATTCATTTATTGAAGGGGGTTTGGAATTTAGTAGCTCAATTTTACCTGAGTTTCTGTTGGGATACATTGAACCTTTAAGAACAAATTGAAATGGAATCAACCCAAAGCTCAGGGGAAATTGAAAGAGAAAAGGAAAGCATCTCTATAACAAAATCCCATGAAACATAAGCTGTTGAAATTCTACACGAGAACAGCACACATATAATTTGAAATGGAATGTGGAAAGCTGCGTATCACATTAAAGTAAACATAAACAAAAAAATTATGTAGTGATCATCAGGCCTTGCGCTTGTTTGATCTTCTTTTCTTGACGGCATCTGGTTTGCCAAAAACCCCACAAAAACCGCAACCGGATAGCTTTGGAGAAGGAGGATCCACGCTAGGAGTAGCCGCCTTGGTCGTGCGGTAGGTATGTCCGCCGCTGCCTTCGTCTGATCGGCTTCGTCTCCCTCGGCTGCTTTCTTTATTTTCTGTCATTTGGTTCAAATCCCCCGATACGGCCTTGTTGTCCCATACCAAACCCGACGATCCTTGCCTCCTAAATGACGTCGTAGACCTCTGCAAACCCTCCATCTCTTCTTCAAAAGTCTTTTCCTTCTTCTCTGGTTTATGCTCTGGAACTCTGTGGCGGTTGGTTATAGGTTTTTATTGGTACAAGGTGAAGGGACGCTGGGTCCGGAGGTACGTGGTGAAGTGCGACTTTTTCAATGTGGGAGAGAGAGAATGACAAGTATGGACTTTAATGAGTAAAAAACAAGTGGATTTTTGGTCTGCTATTTGAAACACCGAAGAGCTGACGAATTCACAATAATAAAATAAATATATTTCAAAACATTTACCAAAACTCTTCTCTCGGTTTGTGTTTTCGTGTAATACATAAATTTATTAAATGCCTGAATAATTGAATTTAATTAAATAGAATAGCACCAAGGCTTGGTCCAAAAATATTTTAAATTACCTCACACTTCCGCCAACTACAGACCAAAGACGATACATAAAGTATTTGAAAGTTTTAATCATTGTAAATACAATAATAGAATTAAAAAAGGTAATAAGTTTTGACCATTTAAAGTCAAGTTTATTCTTAGGTCACAGAAAATATGACATACAAAAGCTAATTCACATCTTCAATTACTTGAGAAAAAAACCATCAATAATTAATCTATTAGTTCATTAAAGTCGAGATTTTTCAGCTGTGATCGGAAATGAAACATAAAATTAGTTCGTTTGTCTCTCTTGTTCCGCAGTAAACAAAATTGTGATTGTACTGGAACCCCATTAATAAATTCATTTTGCCTTCCCTTTCTTGAATTGAAAGACCCTGCTCCTCCCTTCTTTCCAGTCTTCTTATGAGGTTGCTTTTTTGGTTTCAGCTTGTTTGTGGTCGATGAGGACTTCCCTTCTTGATTCCTTTTACTCCTAGCTTTCTTCACGTTATACATCGTAACAGCCTGATCTCAAAAATAACATAAAATTAAATTAAAAATCATTCTCAGTTTAAAAATGCATTTCCATTTTGGAATATCAACTGATGAACCTAAGTTGGCCAAATCATATGGCTCAAGCATACCTTGTCAACATCGAGTATCTCGTGCGAATGCTTAGAGATAAGCTTATTTAGAACACTCTCAGTTTGTTCCTTCTCTCACGAGCCTATCCCTGATCCTTCGACCAACAGGTAAGAACTAACAAAAGTACAAAATGACCATATTAGAGCATGCCATCACAATTCATCAGAGATATGTACACTAAAGTGAAGGCCAAGGATGCAAACCTTGCGATGCTTTCCTTGCTTTTTAGCAGGCTTTTCTCCATCAAATCTCCCCCCCCCCACTAGCCGTAGAAGTGGCGGCCATCCCAGCAACATTCCCTAATTCATCTTTCGTAACTTTCTTAGGTGGAGCCTGTGTTCCTGTTATGGACAGAGCTGTAGCAGCAAGCTGAACATGGCTGCAGCAAACCACTTCAAGTTAAAAATAAACAAAAACATTAAAAATAGCCAGACTCTAGCATCCGCAAAAAGATAAAGTATCCTCTAAAAAGTTACAAGAATCAGATGAGAAGCAATTACATGAAACTCAACCAAAGAGCTAGAGTTTTTTCAATGCAAGCTAAAGCAACCGCTAGAGTTTTCTCATCAAGAACTAGAGCAGTTAGGATGAAAATAATGCCAATAGGAAAGAATCAACAATGACTTCAAACTCATTGATGTTTATAAGAAATTCCTATGACTATGGTCAGCAATCATAGTCTAACCCCTAAAGTGTTAAAATAACATAAATGTTAGGGTGTAAAGGAATAGTATTAATATCATAGAATAGGACTTAGAGGCTAATGCAGCATAATGAATTAATGATGCTAGATGAAGAATAGGCTAAGAGGAGCCATTTATACCAACAATATCTCAAATATGATTAAGCTATCAGTTTCTTGTTGAATATAATAATTGTGATTGTACATATAGAAAACTACAATGGATAGGAAAAACCTTGGCAAAGCACCAACTTTTGCAGCTTGCTTCAATTTCTGGAGGCGATTCTTCTCTTGTTTATCAACTCGTTTCTTCTTATAATCTTGTCTTTTAGCAAAAGGATCCACTCCAGGCTCTGCAAAATAAAAACAACAATGATCAACAAAAAAGTCAACTATATTTCTTTTCTTCCAAGCAAGGAAGGCAACTCATTAATTACTCACCATCAGTCATCTTGGCCTCGATGATTGGTATATCTTTATCATCATTGACAAGATCATAACCAAAACAACGTTTCCATGTACCAGTCTGTTCATTCCATACAACTTTCTCCCTTTTTACGTTTCTTTATACCTAAAAGATATCTCAAAAGAGAACAACCAAAAAGTAGAGAATCAGCAGACCCATGGAAAATGAGATTTAACTCTAAATTCAAACATAGCCATGTATGACAGGTGAAATGATTTACATTTCCTTTTAGCAAACTCCTCCCATTTCGTGGGAGGTTTAGGCTTCGGAAGCTGAAAGCACAAGCCAATAAAGCATTTCAGGTTTCACGAAACCTTACAAACTAGAATTTTCAATGCATATAAATAACCAAAAAAAAAATTCAAATTCATTTGGTAGGATATACTTGTTCTTTAGTCTTGGTTTACAGAAGTCCAAAATTACAGAATTAAAAATGAATTAATTATAAGGGTAGGCTTACATGCTTCTCCCTATGAAGTTTGTTGGGGGAGGCAGCTTAACAAGCGGTCCATCTACATCCTCAGTTTTTTTTCTCAGCAAAGGACAATTTATTAAATTAAATAAAGAGTCAAAGTTCAACTTATGAGCCTCATTAAAAACCTCCCTATTCTAATTGGAGGAAAAGAGTACTACATAAGAGAACAAAACAAACGCATCGAACCAAAAAAAACAGAACCCAGATGCACAAGAAACCCACCCCCTACAAATTCACACTCTTGGCCATAAAAAAAAACATAACATTACAACCATCAAAACGCTCAAAAGTAAAAACCAACAAAACAAATCCAATCGACAGAACAAAACTCGACACCAGGAAACTCATACCGAGACATAAAAACATTTCCACACACTCCAGAGTGGGCTACCAAAGTAATTCTCGAAGAAGATTACGCTAACACAAACAATACTATGGAATCCAAAACAAGGTCTTTCCTAATATCACCAAGCTTGAAGTCATGAATCTATCAACAAACCAAACAATAACCAACCAATCAACCATACCACAATCGTCTTTCACCCAGCAGTGCAAATACAACACCAATGGTAATGGCTCTTCCTTAATTATTCCTACTAAAAAACCTCCACTTAATATTCATCAGAACAGTATCTAATTGACACAAAAATCCAGCCCTTGAAACGTTGAACAAACACTGCTCAATAGAATACAATACATTGTCCGAGACCCCTAAGGCAAACAAAAATGATCGAAATCATGCCACCACAAAAACCTCCTGCAATACTATCATTCCCCACAATATAGACATCTTACAAAACAAAAGATCCAAAATTTTCCAGCTTATCAAGGCCATTCACAATCCAACTTTCTCAAGAACAATGATACTTAAATTCAGCACTTTAACCTAAGATTGAAGAAATCCACCATATCGTCTCGGTTTCCACAATTTTGAATTCAACAACGTACCAACAACAACCAGCTACCATAACACCATTGACAATTTTTTTGGACACACTCCATCTCATACCAGCAGAACCAAAACTTCTGTCAAAACAGCAGCAACAACCTCTGTTCCATTCCAGACTCGAAGATAACAAACAGATAGTACAATCACTAAAACATTGAAGAAACAGCCAAATACTCTTTCCTTACAACCCCCAGGCATGAACAACCATGAATTAAACACACGAACTCTCTAATTACACCACAAAGCCAGCATAGTAAAGAAGAAAATATAACAGATTTACAACCAGGATAATAACTTCTTTTCAAAACATCCCCTTATGAAGACAACTAAAATTCAATGGACATAGATTGAGATTCACCTTCCAATTCCTCCAAGGCTATTATTTCTCGAACCAACTTCTCTTCTGAGCCTTTGAACTCTATTCCTAATTCTCTACCAATCTGTAACATTAACATCGCTTCCCTCTTTAGTCTCTGGCATCCTGCTTGTATGTCAAAATCAGATAGGGACCTACCTTCAAGTTCATTCAATTCTTCTTCGCTCTGTATCTTCTTCTTACTTTTCTTCATTCGACAAATTCTATTCTTCCTTTTTGAATTTACGAATTTCTCCTGAATGCTTTGAATAGAACTGTATTTTTTGTTTTTCCTCGCCTTTGCTCTTTGGATCTGCCTGGATTTGAGAATTAAAGTATCCTCGCTCAGCTCTTGGTTTGAGAGACCCATATTAACCACATCCTCCACTGCCCTCGTATCTATTCGACCTTCCCATATCTTCAATTCTTTAAAATTTTCCTTTATTTCCTCAGTTGAAGGCAAGTTAAAAAGACTATCTGCAACGTCTTGAACTAACTTGGTGCCCTCCTGTAAACATTCCTTCACTAGCTCATCCCTAAACATATTGTCCAGCAGACATATAAGATAAAGGAAAGGAACGCGAACGAAAATAAACAACGACTTCTTTATAAACCAAACAATAGACTACGCTTTGAAAAGACCCACTAAACTAGGTTTGAAGGAAACCAAGTATCCCCAATTCCAAAGTATGTCCATTTATAGCATCAAATTCAAAACCCATTGCAGAAATCGAAAAAATTAAATGAGAAACAAAAGAAGGAAACCTATTTCAGCTAATTTGATACAAATCTGCAATTATAAAAGAAAAAGAGAAAGAAGTAAACCTGGAAGCGGGGAGCGAAGGAAAGCTATGAAAAGGGTTGAAAGCAAAAAGATTCCCCACGTCTACATGAAAAGGTTTCGGGCTGTCCATCTCCATTGCCATCTCCCCTTCGTTTCGCTGTATGGAGCTAACTGTTAAGCTTTGGTTTGGTTTGTTCTTCCAAAACCTAACGCCGAAAAAGGCAAAACAAAACCTATTGAAGAATGCGCCTATCAAATTATTGAAGGAACCTATTGTTTGTAATGTAACATTGTTTGGAGAAACATGATTTGATCGCATTTCATTGAAGTGGTTTACAGCATACTTGTCATCACTAGAAATCATTGTAGTCCATGAGATCACATTACAGTCATTCATTCTTCCGAATACTGATTTTGCATCTTCAACAACCTCACACTTTGCATACATTGACATCAAAACATTACAAACAGAAACATGCGTACCATACCCTTGTTTTATACATAGACCATGAATTTGTCTTCCAACATCTAAGTTCCTCTGACGACCACAGACTGAAGCTGCCACAGTAAATGGTACATGATCAAGGTATATTCTTTGTTTTACTATTTTAATGAATATCCAAAACGCTTTTAACCCATAACTATCCTCCTGGCTGTACCCCGAGAGGATCCCAGTCCATGAAACCAAATCTCTGATCGGCATTTCATCGACACCCTTTGAGCTTCCTCTAAACGTTTCCACCTAGAATACAAAGTTATAAGGGCATTTCCCACATTGACGTCGCAACCTAATGCAGTCTTCATTAAAAGTGCATGCAACTGCAACCCGAGAAGACAGCCTTCGAGGTCAAAACAGAAAGAAAGCGCTGTTGTACAAGTTACTGCATCGAAAAGAACCCCATTACGATTCATCCTCAGAACAAAATTGAACGCTTCTTCACTTCTTTGAAACCCCGAAAGCAGATTACTCCATAAAACTATATTGGGATCATTTAAGCCCTCAGAGATGCACAAAGCCTTATCAAACTGCCCAGATTTAGAGTACATGTTCATCAATGAATTCGGAACCGTAATAAAGGACATGAGCCCGGAGTTGATAGCAAATTTGTGAACCTGCGTCCCTTGCTTTGAATTACCGCAAGACCCCTTAAGAGCAAGAGTCGGCGTAACTTCTTCGATGGCATTAAATTGGCCCGAATTAAGGAGTTGTTTGAACTTTTTAAAGGCATCAAAGTGAAGATTAACGCCAAAAAAGGTGGGCAGAGACCGGTTAACTGGGCGAAGGAGGGTTGGGTTTGTGCAAGGGCTTTCGTCGAGCAAGTTCCTAGAGGCCGTTGATCGTTGGTTGGCGATAAAAAGGAGTTGGCGGGTAATCATGACAGTTTCATAAGAGAGAGTGGCTCAAATGAAAAGAAAATTAACAGTATATTTGAGCCAGTTAATCAAGGGAGAGCTTCAGCATATCGTGGTCATCTTTGAGCCAGCTCTTTCACTGTACTGTTCCTTCCGAGTAGTTCACTACTCGTCAACTAGTACGATCGATGTTTTTCTTTTTTAAATTTTGGATTCGAATATCAAATAAATTAAAATAACTACATATCAAAATATAAATAATTATTTATAGACATATATTATTTTATATTTATTCATATTAATTAAAAAAAAAGTGATTTTTGTGAACTCGGGATTACTGATGTCGGTAAAATGCAGGTAGTATAAAAAAAACCTAAAATACGGTTGATTCAAACCCAAGTAAAATCTATAGATCCACAAGCATAAGTAAAATTAGCGAATACATAAATAATTCATTCAGTATTTTATTTTGGTCTAAAACAACATGGGATGCCAATCGACAATATATAACTGGACCATAAGCAGAACATGCAGAGAAAAGAAAGAAACTAAAACACCTCTATAATTATAAATCTCTTTCGAGTCTAATCGTATCACTATCTAAAAAGTTAAAAACAAAGATTAACCCTGAGATTCATCTCTTCTGCTGCTCCCATCCCCTTCTCTTTCATCCAACAATCTCCCCGTTTCTTCATCCTTCCTCTCTGCTGCTTCCTTCTCTCTAAGCGCTTTCAGCTTCGAATGATTATAATAAGCAACCCCCAAAAACGCTACCCCATAACCAAACAAGTTAACAGCGGTCACCCTGTCTTTGATCACCGACCACGAAAAAGCTATCAGCAACCAGTCTTTGACAACTCCCGCCACGTTCATCGTCAGCGCGGATGTCTTCCCCACCAACAAAAACACCGCCAGGTTCAAAGCGAAGGCGCAAAAGGAGTTGGTCCCGAAGATGAAGTAATCGAAATGGAAGGTTGAGTTTTCTTTAAGTGAAGGTAGTTCCACGGCGACCCAGGGAACAAGCAAGAAAACGAAACAACAAGGGGCGACGTAATAAAGGGAAGTAATGGGGTTAAGGTTGATTCCTTTCGAACCGAGGAGTATTTGGATTAAAACCAGCCTCGTGGCTTCAAAAGCAACAGCTCCGAGCTGTAACAAGACACCCCAGGTATCGAATTTGGCTTCTCCATAAGCAGCGATGGCGACACCGGCAGAAATAGCGAGCATGTTAGCCATGGTGGAAGACTTGAAAGCATCTTTACGAAAGAGGACGCCGATGGAGTAAACGGCAACCGGCATGAGGGCTTTGAGCATTTGGATGAAGGAAACGGAGAGATAGATGTAGGCCGAGTTGGAGAGCCAAAGGGAAAGGGAGTAAAGGGCGCCGATGGGAACAATAGAGGAAAGGTAGAGTTGGGGAGTCATAGAAGAAGGGAGGTCGACGACAAGGAAGACTCGAACGAGGAGGAAAGCTATGGAGGAACAGAATCCCATGTGGATGAGCGTTAGGGAGATGGGGTAAGGCCAGTTGTAGAGCTTTTTGTCCAGGATGAATTTGTTGTAGACAATCACGGTGAAGGAAAGGAAGATCCATATGGCTACGTAGGTGTATGAGAGGATAATTTTTTTGAGGATGGAAGGGGAGATGGTGGTGGATGAGGAGGAGGTTCCGGTGGCGTCTCCCATGCTGGTTGGTGGTGGGTTTCGTACCGGAGCACCAAGGGAAGAGCTTTTTATTGCTGCAAAGGTGGTGATTCTGTTGGGGGCAAGAACTAGAAGGATCGGATTTAAATATGGAAACTTGGAGGGGTTGAACTTCAGAGGCGTTAATTAGGGAATTTGTAGTTAAATGACACGTTCGTATTTCTCTTGATTCACTGAACTTAAGACTGATTGTTCTAAAGTAAACATCGACAATAGACTGATTAGAAACTAATAACAACCGGTGAAAAGTCTACATCTTCTTTACATTTACTGGGTCTGCAAGGTTAGAGTTTATCGTCCGAACCCACCAATTGCTGGGGCCCGAAGCCTTGAAACAACTCCACGTATAATGAAGCATTATGTGGCTTATTCAAACACTATTTTCACGTCCACAAATGTACCAATGTTAACATTGTTTTTTTTTTAGATAAGAACCTTGAATTTTACAACGCCACGTGTTTAAATTTTAAAAAGTTTCGAAGCGTATGAGGATTGAAAGGCAATTAAGCCTTTTAATTCATGATTTGTCTACTTTATATTTCGTCATAAGGTGCAGTGAGGCAATTACAGATGGTGGCCTAAGCATATTTCTTTCCTCATGTTACGCTGGCGAAAATTATTAGGTGAAGCAATATATCACTGTTCTGCAATTTTAATAATCTTCTTTCCAATGTTTTGTCCTCTAAAGAGATTGATCAAAGCAGAAGGGATACTCTCAACCCCTTCCGAGATGTCTTCCAGTGGCTGAATTTTACCCGTCCGAAGGTGATCACAAGTCGTCGAAAGGAAGTCACCAAAAAGGTTCAAGTAATCACCAGCCAGAAACCCTTGGATCTTGATTCTCTTGTAAACAACGTCGATCATACTCGGCGCAGCTCGTTTTTCGCGATCTGTATACTCTGAAATCACCCCACAGACGGCTATCCGACCATTGATGTTCATGTTACTCACTGCTGCTTCTTGCATATCTCCCCCTACGTTGTCGAAATATATGTCAATCCCATCCGGGAAATACCTCCGGAGAGTTGACTTTAAATCAGTTTCTTCCCTGTAGTTGAATGCATCATCAAAGCCAAGCTTTTCTTTAAGCAACGCTACCTGACAATTTTGTATGCACATTTGAAAATCATCGCTTTGTGCTAAGATTCTTCAAACCAACTAAACCATGAACGATGGACAATTTGTGTTAATTAATCTGACCTTTTCTTTGCTTCCAGCGCATCCAACTACGTAACAACCGAACACTTTGGCAAACTGGCCAACCAAGTTCCCGACTGATCCCAAAGCAGCAGAAACGAACACTTTCTCCCCTTTCTTGGGCTTGCATATCTCGAACAATCCAGCATAGGCTGTCAGTCCACTGAACGCTGAAACAAAGCATATGGTTTTGAACATGTGCAGATGATAAGCAGTGATGACTGAGGAGCTAATGGCATATAAAAATAATGAAATAGTGGTTTACCCAAAATTCCAGCGTGGTAAGACAAGGGAAAGCCCATGGGGTCGAGCTTGTTCAACATGCCACCAGGTTTTACCACCGTGAATTCCCCCCACTTGAGGAGTCCGGAAACAATGTCACCCTTGTCAAATTTAGGGTTCCCAGAAGCCACAACTTTGCCAACACCATAAGCATCGATATCCTGTCCCAAAACAGAAAATAATGGTATGAAAAAAATCCTCGAAAGAGATTCAATTAACTGAGCCTGAGGAGGGGCATGCTGGGCAAACTTACCTCACCAGGAGTAATGGCGACTGCATAGGCTGAACTTTCTTGTGAGGAGCTATAGCTTTTCATGCGGTTTAATTGGTAAGGGTCGATTGAAACGTAGAGATTTTTGACAATGACCTCATCGGAGCCAGGTTCCAGGGAAAGAGAAAGGGGTGAAGACTTGAGCTCGAAATCAGAGTCTTGTGGGGCCCCATCTACGTGGTGCTTGATAGTAATGTACCTGTTGATAACCTCCATTTTTGAAGCTTCTCACAACGAAATAGCTGCCGGTGCTGAGAGCCCACCTACAGCTATTGTGGTTATATAAGGGCCGAGGAAGAACAATATTCTAATACAAACAAAAGGGTATTAATACAGAAGCTGAATTTATTTACAGAATCAATGTATAAATATTTATAAGAAAAACAGCATCCCTCGGCGGCTTTACGCAAACTCCAAACGGGGATCGACATTATTCTACCAAGAAAATTAAAGATTCTTCATCCGAATCGTGACAAGCTGCCAAATAGGAAGCCTGCTGCCGTCCTAAACCCCAATGCTTAATTACATAATATAATTAAGTCTCAATCAAGAAGAGAATGTCAAGCATTTCCAATTGATGCTTTTAGACAAATTATAGATTAATTACAAAAATGTAGTGATCAATAAGTACCATTTCGATTATTTCAAAAAAAAATTCTTCATTTAAAATTTTACATAATTTATTTTAGATTGTATTTATAAATAACATACAGCCATATATGAGATTCTTTTTGGCATCAAGAATGAGATTTGCAAAATAGAGGACTTTCGTAGTGCATGTAACAGAGATGTTCTGTTACTGCTAAACAATGCAATCAATGATTAATTAGTCTTTGAACATATCTTCCTAATCTCTCCTTCGGACCCAGTTTTCACTTCAATCCTACTCATCTTTATCATCGCTTTACGAAACTCATAATCAAACCTTAACCCCAACAATCCTCTTATGTTCCCTGCATATTTTTCCACTACCCTACGCGTAGCAGCATCTCCCCAAAGCCTCTGGTCCGATTCTAATACTCCTTTTCCATCACGAACATTTTTGAAGAAGCTCACGTCAAACTTCGTTGGGCTGTTTATATCTAATGCCACCCTTTTCGAACCGTCACCGTTTCTCGGACATAAAGTTTTGAGTTGTACTAAGAATGATTGGTTAATCGTCGGGTCTGCACTTCCGGTTACTGTGAAGTTATATAGGCGGTAGCGAAAGAACAAGCAATCCGTTTGCCCAATGGTATGTGCCCCTGCCATAGAAAACATAACATGTAATTAAGCAATCGGAAACTTGGTGGCGAAGAAACTATGTACGTAGTATATGCATACCGACTAATGTTACAAGATCTTTATCGTCGAGGCCTTTTGCTGCAAATTTTTGCCTTTGAGCAGCAATGGAACCAAGTGGAGACGGTAAACTTGAGGCTTGTGATGATGAAGAAACCCTGCCATCCCTTCTTCCGGTTGGAACGGTCCAACTTGGACCATCAATCTGAAATGGAATCAAATTAATGAAAATCTCATGTCGATGTATGTTTGTGCGTACGAGCTCGGGTTTATTGTTAGTAGAGAAAGAAAGAAAGCTACCAAGTCAACCGCGTCCCGAGCTGCCAATGCTAGGATGTCAGCACACGAGACTACTCCAAGGCATAGAGATTCCAGCTGCGTTTTTGCATCGTCAATAACTTTGAATCCTCGAAGTCCAAGGTTTGGCAATGCACTTCTCTCGCTGGAAGAGCCGGAGATCAACACCGAGCTGTCACATCCCTGCACGGAAGTCATGTGATCAGTAACACTTCCACCACAATAAATCAGGAAGAAGAAGAGAGTGACCTGAACAAAACAGTCATGGAAATGAAGCCTAAGCAAGCCAGCTGCAACGGGAGGATCATTGTTGAAGTGAGATTCAACTATGGATCTTACAACAGCTTCAGCCTTTGGACATGAAGAAGAATAAAATCCATTCTGCAAACCTGATCCCTGCCCCTCAACTAAAGAAAACATCACCAAGTACTTCGCTACAGAAACCAACCAAAAACCTCCCATTTTCAAAACCTGTGCTAAACAAAACCAAATTCGAGCAAATTATATATGCACAATGGGATTTGCTTAAGTTGCATTATTGGCCTGTCTTTTCGTCGAAATTCGGGCTACTCTTTGTAGTGGAATACGTGGAACCATTTGTGATAGAAATGCTTTCTCTTTTTGAAATAATTAATGCATTAACAAGTGGATCAAAGTGGAACTGGGGAGGTGCAAGAACTGTGCATATAAGAAATGGGAATTGATAACGTTAGACGCCTTTCTTATCATTTGATCAACACGTTTTTGTTGTTGTTTTTACTTGTTAATGTTGAAAATTGAGAATGTCCAATTGGAATACATTCACGCTTCACATTGACATCATGGAGGCTAAATTCTGAACTAGGTCCATGTCCTCTTTTATCTTCCATTTTCTTCATCAACTGCTGCAACTCCTAATGTATTATATCAGCTCTGATTCTGGGGTGGTAAACATCTTATGTTCCAAACCAATTTCTTTGATTGTTGTTACCTTCAGATTATCAACCGTGCAGCATTGAGGGGCTTCCAATTCACAAGGCTGCTCAACAATTCGTTTCCCCATCTTTACCTGCTGCTGGATCCTGCATCCATCTAGCAAAGCTCTCAAATCATCTGGCACTATTTTCAATCTGGTGTTCCTTGTTATAGTTGCGTGCCTCATCGAAGAGTCTATCACGAGCTAGAAGGGCTACCAGCAGAACACATTGTGTAACTGTAGGTGTCTTAATGCGATTGAAGAATGACATTCCTACATCAACACTTCAAGCTGTCACACAAGCATGGAGAACTGCAGCATATGTCATATTTCTAAGCTGGAGTTTTTCTCCATCTCCAAAAACAAACCTAGTCCAGTGTCATGTCTTCATGAGGTGGAGGATATAAATCCCACGTTAGAAAAGAAAAGAGAAGGCCTGAAATTTATAAGAGATGGTAATTTCATATTCTATGAAATTTGATTTTTGAGAGAGAATGTCATGCCTCGAAGTGGTGGAGATATATCCAATTACACAAAGTATAGTTGTCAATTTTTCACTCGTTAATATTTTTTTTATGATTTGATTGATTAAAATAATAATTAATTCTTGAATTTTTACAATTATTTTAATTTGTTTTACTATATTATTCTTTAAATTTGTTAGTGCAATATCGAAGGTGCAATATTATAAAATTTATCATATTACATAATCTTAAGGAAATCAGTTACTTTTTCAACATTACATATTCGAAAAACAGGAACACAAACCAACAGGATAAATGATTAATTAAAATAAACATTTGAACATAAATTTATGATTATACCAAAACGTAGCTTCAAGTTATATAGGATTTACATGTGTTTGCATCTAGGCCTTGCATTACAAAAGCATAAAATGTAGTAAGAAAAGTAAAAAACTAAACCCAAAAAAAAAAGATTCGTTTTCAAGCATAATTCACCTATATTACCACAATTCAACTACTTGGCAGCTTGTTCAAGAACAGGACTCATTTTCCATGCCTCGTCCAATCCGCTTATTTGCAGTGGAGGCAACGAGAAAACGCTAACAGTTGAGCTTCCACTCCGAATTTCCTTCAATACCCGCAATGCTGATATTGTGCTTTTCATGTATAAGCTCCCCACATTCTTTGCTTCACCGGAAGCTGGTTTTTCGTTCTTGGGGAAGATGTGTTCCAGCATCGCCTCGCACTCCTTCACGAGCTTGTGAAGCAAGTCCGTGGTGTAAAAGGGCTGTCGCAACACCCTTTGAATGAAAGGCAACCGGATCAAAGCACCAGTTCTTTTGTCATACTTCTTCAGTATTTTCACCAACCCTGTTCATAGCATATTGAGTTACTGATCTAATCCATTTGATGCAGTAAGGGCATTTTAAAAGCATTAACGTCAAAAAATCCAGGGGATCTTCACGCAAATTCTATTAGATAATGAAATCAGTTTCCAGGAGATCATGGTGCAATTCTGCACCGCCCAGCAGTATTCAGTACAACTCTAATTATCTCGTCTATAACTCTTTTTACCAAATGGTTTTTCTCAAATAACCCTAACAATTTGGAGAAAGTCAGACCATACTGGCATAAATCTATAATAGTGGCAGGCACATGGTGAAGCAAATGCTCCCAGTACAGTCAAATGGGTCTTTTAAAGAAGTGATGAACATTTCATGTTTGATTAAAGAATGGATGTGAATAAGTTGTCCGGCAAAGTATGGATGTCAGAAGGAATGCATACAGCTGTTCTACAGGAGTTTCCCAGCAGCTACAAATCTAATATTTTCCCTAAACAACTCATCCGGCCTGCTAAAACCGTGTACTACTGTTTTGAATAAATCACTAGTATTCAACTAGTATTCAATTTATTAAGCGACTAATTCATATCGAATTTTACACATATTATGGAAACTACCTATAAACTCAATTTACTAAATTCACAATCGTCAATATTTGAACCTTTATTTTACTTAAAAAAAATCTAGTGTCTCCCCCGTTAAGTTTAATGGTTATGGGTAAATTCATGTACCACTAATCATGTAAAACATTGAAACAAAGCAAGTGGCATATATATATTTGATTGAAGTATTAAACAGAGGAAGAGATTAAAAAAAAAGGTGAAATACCTGTGTAGTTAAGGGCGCTATAATTTTCTAATAGAACCATCTCGCCATGGAAGTCGACTATCTCCCTCCAAATCTTTATCATCTTTTCATTAGAATCCTTTGCCTTTGCCACGTTATCTTGTAATTCCTGCATCCCAAGTTCCCAGTCCAAAATAACTCATAAAACAAGCATACAAAATTTACACAATAGAAAATCCATATAGTTATGTCTTGAACTTAGAATCTTTACATAGCAATTAGAATGTAAAAAACCAACGTCGTTTCGTTTTGGTTCTAGTAATGAATTTTGCATCCCTGTTTGTTTATCGGGAAAGCAGGAGAAAAAGAAAAACAAACAAACAAAAAAATGCCGCCAATAAAACAGATCGAAATCAAATCAGAGTTGGAATTACCTTCAATCTAATGATGTATTCTTCCTCTTTCTCAACAAAAAACGTGTTGAATTTCTCGAGCTCATCTTCCAACAGCTTAAGAAAACGGGTCTCCTCTCTGGACATAACGTCTCCATCACGGAGTTATCCACGGCATCCACCACGTCACCAGAATTTTCATCCAACTTACGCCGTTTATTCGGCCTCTCATCGGAATTACGTTCAATGAGCTTTACTTTCTTCTTAAGCTCCTTATAAGAAAGGAATTTGTCCCGCCATTCAGGCAACGTATCCTCGATCTGGTTACTAAGGCTCTTCCCAAATTTCATAGCGAAAACTCCTTATTGCTTGAATCTTAACGGCTGGAGAGAACAACGACAGAACGGAACGGGGGTGGTGGAGGGAGAATAAGGGGTAAATATAACAGGAAATTGAAGAATATTCGGAGGGAAGCGGTGCGAATTTAGAATATCTTTATTTTTTATTATTAAATATTTTGGATTTTCTAAATTCTTTCGAAAGAGTACCTTTTTACTTTGTCTATTTATTTTTATCAGAAAAAATATTTTATCCATTATGTTATTTTGAAACGTTTCAAATATTGACACGTGGACATTTTACTGGGGACTTCTGGAGAGGCGTAGCTTAAGAAAGCCTTGCTTGTACTACTGGCACTTGAAAGTTAGGATACAACTTTATTGGCCTAAATAAGTTAATAAAAATAATTTAATTACATATTTGATCTTTACTTGAGATTAACATTTTTAATATAATCAGTATTTTCGTTATATAGTTTAATGACTATACACACTTGTAGTTTATCCAAATTAATATTTACTTATTATTATTATTATTATAATAGTCTAGAAATATTAAGACAGTTTTGAGTGCAAAGCTTCCCAAGTATCTTCAAGAGCACAGCCACAAAGCCCAGCCCAAGTAGGGGACTTTTTTTTTGTATTTGTCACGTATAATTTGAGACTTGGTATAATTCCAAAGGATTTGGAATATCCATTTCCCTTTCACCTCATCAAAAATTAAAGAAAGACTGGTTCTGCAATTAAACCAAAATAACTGTTGTGTCACCCTCTCTCTTTTCTCTAGAAACTAGCAGAGAAGTCAACTAAAAGGGTAACTTTGGTATTTAGTCCTTAAAGTAAGGTTGAACATGGAATTTCCCATTTACACAAGTTGCTAATCTTGCCGGGACAATATTAAAATGAAATAATAATAATAATAAAGCATATTCTATTTTGGTCCCTTTGTGCCCACCACCCACCCCCAAAGATCTTTTTGCACTTTTGAAAACTAGCAATGCATCCTATGCACAATATAAGGAATATTCCATATAAGGAAAAAAGACAATTATTAAACATAAATAATATATATTTATTATCAAATAAAAAATATTTTTTTGCCTTCCAAGTCAAGATATCCTTTGCTTGTATAAAGAATATTCATTTCCTTAATAAATAGCTCACCAATTACTCTATTTAATAAATAAACAAACACAAATAAAAATGTGTTGATTCGTTTATATTCATGATTAAGCTAATGAATCGAATGAATAAACAAAAACCAAATGCTCAATAGGGGCACTATAATAGTAATAATTATTGCTTTATTTTAATCATCCAACCTAAAAGAAGTGTGAGAAGCATCCTTCTATAGTGAAATGGGATGGACCATTGAAAGTGAAGCCCTTGTGGGATGGGCCATTGAAAGTGAAGCCTCAAGCGTCTCCTCTATATCCAATGAAACAACGCAACATTTAAGACCAACCAAATACTTTGACTTATCTCAATTATACAGATATTTTAAAAAAACTAATAATTAAATCAGAAAATAGAGAGGCAGGCATTGGTAATATGGTACACCATCCATCAAATCTACAGCTTTCCTACACATAAGTGATAAATACTCATTAATATTATACGGAGAATTAGATCTAGACATCCGAACTTGTTTTTTTTTTTGAATAAAAAAGAGAAGACAAACGAACTACATGGCCACATTGAAATATCAGCATGGAATGCAGCGTTGCACTCTTCAGGAGGATCGTGGAAGATAACCTACTCATGTGGAAGAGTCCACGCCAAGTGAGCCAAGGTATCCGCTACTTTGTTACACTTCCGGGGAACATGACGAAGCAAAACAGACCAATCGCGTTGCAGGAGTTCATGGACGTGAGGGATTAACGACGAAACACCCCTTTAAGCTCCTCTCTTGCTAAGCAAAGTTATCATATCTTTGCTGTCCGATTCAACTAAAATCCTCCGCAAACCTGTATCCCAAGTTAGACGCAGCCCTTCGAAAAGACCCCAGAGTTCCGCGTCCAGGATTGAACAACTCCCAACAATTTTAGCCAACCCCACGAACCACGAACCGGCTGAATCTCCAATAATTCCGCTACAGGAAGCAAAACCCAAGTCTGTTTTCCGAGCACCATCCGTGTTCAACTTGTAGACACCATCAGGAGGCAGTTCCCAGTCTCATTCCTGTCAACACGAGCAGAAGAACTCACCACAGTATGGGCCTTTGAATCGTACATCCGTTCTGTCGACCAATACATACGCCAACACTCCTGCAAAACATTGTCCATAGGTGTGAAATCCTGGTCAAAAACCAATTTATTCCTCCTCTTCCACAAGCACCAAAGAATGACCCAAAAAACAAATCCC